TTATTTGCTGGTAGTTAAATTGAACTTTAATGACTTGGTAACCAGTATGCTAGAAACACTCTATTAAAATATTAATACCTTTTCTTGACTTGTAAGTATTTAGAATCAAACCCAAACATAAACTAATTCTCAAATCTCAGATGGAACATAACCAAAGAAGCAGTAGAGTATTTTAATTGTATAGCTGAAAGATTTTTCTCCAGTTCTTCCCATGCCATAAGTTTGTGTTTATCTCTGCTGGATGATTATAATTCATGCCTTTGGTTCATTCCTGTTAATGTTGAGACTTTTGGCTCTTGTACTGATAAGAGCAGAGCACAGGGTTAGGAGCCAGAGGTAAACGTCACACAGTTTAAGATTAGTTACTGAACAAATGGGAAAGAACAATTCTAGATATCAAAACACTAACTGCAGGGCCGGGCGCAGCAGCTCACACCTGCAATCCCAGCACTTCGGGAGGCTGAGGCGGGCAGATCACTTGTGATCAGGTGTTTGAGACCAGCATGGCCAACATGGTGAAACCCCATCTTTACTAAAAAAAAAAAAAAAAATACAAAAATTAATGGGCATCTAATAATCCCACCTACTAGGAAGGCTGAGGTAGGATAATTGCTTGAACCTGGGAGACAGAGGTTGCAGTGAGCTGAGATTGCGCTACTGCACTCCAGCCTGGGTGAGAGAGCGAGACTCCCATCTGAAAAACAAAGCAAAACACTGCATAAAAATAACTCAGATGTTTGTCTAAAATGACACTTGAGAGTATCAGGTAAGGGAAGCTAGAAAACCATTTAAGGGAAATAATTATTCTGGAGTAACATCCAAACTTCCAATAATTAAATGAGTGTTGGATGTACATTTTGAAGAGTGGGTAGAAAATCCATGGGATCCTTGAGTATGAGATTCTTAAGAAGTCTTTGGGAAAACATGGCAAATGGATTGCTTTTTGTGTGTGTGTGAGACAGGGTCTCAATCCATTGCTCAGGCTGGAGTGCAGTGGCATGATTATAGCTCATTGAAACTTTAAACTGCTGGGCTCATGTGATTCTTCCACCTCAGCATCCTGAGTATCTAGGACTACAGGCGTGTGCCACCATGCCAGGCTAATTTTACTCCTGGCCTTAAGCACTCCTCCCACCTTGGCCCCCCAAAGGGCTGGGATTATAGGCATGAGCCACTGTGTACCGCCTGGATTACTCTTAATAAACAAAAGATAGTATCCTATTTGTGAAGTGAATATTTATTTTTGTAATGTGTGCGATCATGTGCTAATTAACCTGAACTCTCCATGTATATTTACATGTGTACTTTTGGGAAAATTTTTTGGTAATATATACACCCTCCAAAATGAGGCCAGTGGAGGTGAATACTTAGTTTCTTAACACTGCTGCAAATCCTTACTGTGTTAGATACACAGAATAGGGCCAGGCATGGTGGCTCAAGCCTGTAATCCCAGCACTTTGGGGAGGTCAAGATAGAAGGACTGCTTGAGTCCAGGAGTTCAAGATGAACCTGGACCACATAGCGAGGCCACCATCTCTATAAAAAGTTGGCTGGATGTGGTGGCATGCACCTGTAGTCCCAGCTACTCGGGAGGATGAGGCAGGAGAACTGCTTGAACCCAGGAGGCAGAGATTGCAGTGAGTTAAGACCACGCCACTGCACTCCAGCCTGGGCGATAGAGTGAGACTCCATCTCAAAACAGAACAAAAACAAAAACAAAAAACAAACCAGATCAGTACTTGCATATATGTAGTAAATCATACTTTCATTAGCCAGGTAAATACAGTGTGAGCCACTTTTTTTTTTTTTTTTTTTTTTGAATCTCACTGTCACCCAGGGTGGAGTGCAGTGGCACAGTCTTGGCTCATCACAAACTCTGCCTCTTGGGTTCAAGCGATTCTCCTGCCTCAGCCTCCCGAGTAGCCGGGATTACAGGCATGTGCCACCACGCCCGGCTAATTTTGTATTTTTAGTAGAGATGGGGTTTCTCTATTTTGGTCAGGCTGGTCTCGAACTCCTGACCCCTGGTGATCCGCCCACCTCAGCCCCCAAAGTGCTGGGATCACAAGTGTGAGCCACCATGTCTGGCCGCAATTTTTCTTTTAACCGAAGCAACATATAACAGTTGTGAAATCTATGAATTACAGATCTTTTTATTAGGGTATATATTTTAAACCTTTTATAGAAAATACAGCCCGACACAGTGGCTCACGCCTGTAATCCCAGCATTCTGGGAGGCGGAGGCGGGTGGATCACTTGAGGTCAGGAGTTTGAGACCAGCCTGGTCAACATGGTGAAACCCCATCTGTACTAAAAACACAGTAATTAGCTGGGTGTGATGGCGCATGCCTGTAATCCCAGCTACGCAGGAGGCTGAGGTGGGAGAATTGCCTGAACTCGGGAGGCAGAGGCTGCAGTGAGCTGAGATTGTGCCACTGAATTCCAGCGTGGGCGACAGAGCGAGACTCTTGTCACACACACAAAAAAAGAAAAATTATAAAACTTACATAAAAGCAGAGAGGTACCTGTCCTGAAGCTTTAACAGTTATTACCACATGAGTTATTTTGAAACAAATCCCAAACTAGCATTTTATCTGTAAATCTATACTAGCTATAGTTTGGATTTTTTTTTTCTCTTAAACTGGCATTCCCTTTTATCTCTTTGGTATATTTTACCCTGATAACTGCGCTTTTACTTTGTCATGAAAATAACGTAAAAGTGCTTCTCTTCCTTTCCTCCTCCGTTTTATGATTGTTGACAGGATGTACCTGAGTTTAGTTAATCTAGATTTTCTTTGATGTTCTTGAAGGGATCAGTGGCAGCTGTGGCATTTTGTTTGTTCTCACCCTTTTGGGGAAAGGGAAGAGGCAAAGGACTGAACTAGGCTATGAATCTAGACTAAACTGGTGTTTTGCTCTGATACTTCAAAATTGTGGATTATTTGACCTGGAAAGAAAGGTTCACTATAGTTCTTTGTTTTTTTCTATTTTTTATTTTTCTTTTTTCTTGTCTTTTCTTTTTGAGACAGGGTGTCACTCTATTGCCCAGGCTGGATTGCAGTGGTGCAGTCACAGCTCACTGTAGCTTTGAACTCCTGGTCTCAAGCAATCCTTCCATCTCAGTCTCCTGAGTAGCTGGTACTACAAGCATGCAACACCATGCCTAGCTAATTTAAAAAAAAATTTTAAAGATTTTTGTAGAGATGGGGTTTGGCTTTGTTGTCCAGGCTGGTCTGGAACTCCTGGGCTCAAGTGATCCTCCTAAAGTGCTGGGATTACAGGCATGAGCCACAAGACCTGTCCTATAGTTCTTTATTTTATTTTATTTTTTTTTTGAGACGGAGTCTCGCTTTGTCGCCCAGACGAGTGCGGTGGCGCGATCTCGGCTCATTGCAAGCTCCACCTCCCGGGTTCACGCCATTCTCCTGCCTCAGCCTCCTAGTAGCTGGGACTATACGCGCCCGCCACCACGCCCGGCTAATTTTTTGTATTTTTAGTAGAGACAGGGTTTCACTGTGTTAGCCAGGATGGTCTCGATCTCCTGACCTCGTGATCCGCCCGCCTCGGCCTCCCAAAGTGCTGCGATTACAGGCGTGAGCCACTGCGCCCGGCCGCCTGTCCTATAGTTCTAATTGTAGAAGTTAAGTAATTTATTTCACTTGAGATGTCAGGCTCAGTTGCTAGTTTTTGTTTTATTTTGTTTTTAATAGCTAGTTGACTAAATTCTTCCTCCTTCAAAGGAGGTGACTGGCATGTGACTTCTATAGTATGGTCTCATACAATTAACAGACAGTTGTGTTATTTGCATCACCCTCTTCCTTCCCTTATACGTATGTATATACATGTTTGGGGGTCATTTGAACTAAGGTGCTGATTCTTCACATTTTCTGTACTGTGCACTACTTTTCACAGTCTGAAACCTCTGGATCTCTTCTTATGTTTCAGGATGTCTTATTTTTTATTTTTTTGAGACAGAGTCTCGCTCTGTTGCCCAGGCTGCAGTGCTGTGATGCAATCTCGGCTTACCGCAACCTCCGCTTCGCAGGTTCAAGAGATTCTCCTGCCTCAGCCTCTGGAGTAGCTGGGACTACAGGCACCTGCCACCATGCCCGGCTACTTTTTTGTAATTTTAGTAGAGACGGGGTTTCACCACGTGACCAGTCTGGTCCCAAACTCCAGACCTCGAGTAATGCACCTGCCTCAGCCACCCAAAGTGTTGGGATTACAGGCATGAGCCACTGTGCCCGGCCTTAGGATGTCTTAAAATGCATAAAATACATAGGATTGTAAAGGAAACCAATTATTTTGAAATGTAGTTAGCAGAATGTTAAAACTCAGTGATAGGTGCTTAATATAATAAGTAACGAGTTCTAGCAACACATCTAAGTTTCACAGTAATGAGTGTAGATGATATTTAAAGATCTTCAACAGTCTAATGTGGTATGAAAATATCTGATTTATGTTGATGTCAAAATTACAAGTACTGTAATTCTGTGGTTTAGTGCCAGCATTCATAATTGAAGGACGTGTTAAATTTCAGTTAGGGGATAGTGAAGATAAATGTGTAATTTCCTCCCACCCACACCTCATTTTTATTTCCCTGAGTTTTATCCATGGACTCCTTAGCTGTGACGGTCAGAGTAAGATCACCTGGACTGAGGCCTTGTTTGTGTCCTGGGATGCCTAATTTGAAGCTAAAGGATTTGAACTTAGAATGTAGTCATCAGATAAGTGTGTTTTAAACATTCTGTCTACCAATTTTAGTGACTTTTAAAATAAGTCATAACAGTCCAATAAATACTGGATCTCCAAATGGTCTCTGCATTTTATGACTTTGCTTCTTTGCTTTTCCTTCTTGGGCTGTATTTTCTTAATAGATATTGGTTTGTAATTAATATAGAGTTAATATTTTAAGTAATTTCTAAACTTCCGTGTTGGCTATTATTGTCTTGCTTTTATGGTTTTTTTTTCTTTTAAAAAACATTTTAATTCTTCTGCAGGATTCGGAAACTTCAGATACGAAATATCCCGCCTCACTTACAGTGGGAGGTAAGAATTTCTTTATTTAAAATTAAGATCTAAGTATGGAAACCTATTGCTGTTAGTTTTTTTCAAAGCTTTTTCTCCTTTCTTCAACTCTTGGGTGTGCTAGAACATAAAATTCTTCTCTTATGACCCATGTCTTAGTGTGGGATTTTCTTCATAAGGGCACAGTGTATCTTTTAAAAATCTGCTCTTTGGCATAAGAAACCAAAAATTGAAATATATTCTTGGGTAACTAGGTAATCTTTCTCATTCAGTCCCTTCCCAAAAGGATTTTGTTGATTTCAGTTCTTTCTGATGAATTTGCCAATTGTATTTAAACATGAAGCTCCTATCTTGGCAAAGTTTTAAAACGACAAATACCTGCTACTTTGTGCTTTTATTTTAAGATGTTATTCTGCTTCCTTTTGCTCAGATGGTGGCACTGCACTGATTGTGTAATGTGCACAAACACAAACTATTTAGCACAATTGAATAGCCTGTGTCAGCAATTTCCAAAGCATAATAATGATGTCATGGTGAGAATTTGAGACACCTGTAGTTGAAGGGATAAAATAAAATGTCTTTTGATTCTTCAGACAATGGAACCTGAAAGTTCTTAAAACTCACCTTGGAGAGGGTGGTGCAGAGAAACTGCTTAGCTTTTATGTATTTCTAATATAAAAAAAACAAGAGTAACTAGTTATGTGTGTTTTACACTGGTCTTCTGTTTGGTTAAAAGGTTACTTTGGTGGGAAGTTGAGGGAAGTTGATCTAAGTCTGATTCTCCAAGGTTTCTCAGTCACAAGTGATTTGTGCTGAGAATATTTATCTTCAAAACAATATTATTGAGATTAAGTTTTGCAGGAAGGGGTTGGTTTTTGGTATATGCTGAATATATTGCAAGTTATATAATGCATTAAAAATATACTTTATAGATGGAAGTGGTGGGTTATAAGATTAAACTTTTTTTTTATATGTTCCTGTTTTAGATTAACATTTGTTTAGGGAATTCGGTAGCTTGGGGGATAGGTCCTCAAGTGTTGTAATAGCAAGATTATTAGTTTGATCCCCTTATTTTAAGATGAGCCATATTAAATATGATTTAAAATGTAATTCAATATGATTTTTTGTTCAGGAGCTACATCTAGTGTAATGTATGCTTTCCTATGAAATAGCCCAAATGGTAAGAAACCAAGTTAAGTAAATTATTAGAAGTGCTAGCATATTATGCTATGGGCAAGAGTTTTCCTTTTAAATTCATTCAATAATCTCTTCGAAATTGCAATTTTCCCCTCGTTTCTGGGTATGTTGCCATATCTAACTTT